TACTCAACAGTCTGCGGGTTCTCAGCATTAACCTTCGGAACAATCCTCTGAGGATCTGGCACAGGGAAAATGAAATGCTGATAATCTGTGTCATGGAGAGAAGATGCATCTTTGTCTCTGACAAGAATCTGCACAGACTAGGCTTGAGCAACATTGTTCACCGGAGTCCTCTGAACATTGTCCTCTCCTCTAGTCATGGTTGTTATGGCTTCCATGAACTAATTCAACTGGTTCTTCAACAATTCAAACTCTGCTCTAGTAACCACCAAGTTCTGCTCTGCGGAGTTCATGATCCTTCCAGAAACTAATTCAAGTCCAAATCGAATGCCGGGAAATCAACTGCGAGTGGGACAAAGATGGGTAAGCTTTCCGTTCCGGCTGAGGATGGACATGCAAGCATGAGATGCACATGCAATGCAAAATGCAACAAACACGGGTTGCATATCCTCAGACGAGTTTGCATTCCCCCAAGAGAGCCGAGTCCTTGGAAGTCGTTCAGGCCATGATTGGTTTTCCCCAGTAGAGAGTGTTGAATAGCTGTTGTTATATTTCCCCTTCGGAGTCCGTATCTACAGGAAAGTTTTAGCCGCGAAGGCCGTGCAGTTTATTTCTGCGATTGACATCGTTTATCCTCAGCAGTTTGTGGGTCGTATACCTAGTGGAGCGGGTTCAGGTTCTCATATAACTTTGTTCCCCCACAGCAGTCGTCTGGAGTTCGTTTCCCCAGGATTAGCCCAATTGAGATTGGTGTGACTTCTTTTCCTTGACAGGATGATTCCTCCTCCCCACCAGAGTGGCTCTCTCCTTGACAGGAGGATTCTACCCTTCAGCATTTATTTTTCTGATGGGGTCGTAGCATTTTGCTGATGGGGTCGTAGCATTTTGCATGATTGCATATCATTTACCCTAAACGCGTAGCATTTCCACCATGTGGAGCATTGCGCCATTGTCAAACATATGCATATGAAACATGAGCTAGGTCGTTACCGTTCTTGTTTTGCAGGTGTTCCTCCGCAGAATGGTTTATTCAAGATGATTCTTGAAATCCTCAGCAAAGTTGTACGCTTAAGATGATTCTTAAACTCCCCAGTGAAGTAGCCAGAATTGTTTGCTCAAGATGATTCTTAGAGCCCCCGACAGAGTTGTTTATTCATGATGATTCTTGAATTCCTCAGCAGAGTTTATTTGTCCAAGGTGATTCCTGAATCCCCAAGCAGAGTTACTTGGTAGTTCTCCAGAATCCCCAGCGGAGATGTGTCATCCCCAGCAGGTTCGAAACAGAGAAGTTGAGATTTCCCTTGAAGACTTACTAATGAAGTCCAACTACGATGTCAAAGCAGTCCTCCTAGCTGACGCGGAGTGCCTGACGGAAAAAGTTTAGATATCCCTAGTGGTTCATGATTGATTGAGGATTCTATTTCAGACTTACTGACGAAGTCCGGCTGACGCCCAAGAATTTCTTTGAATGCCCGACGGCATAATTATAGAGATTGTCAAAAGTTCCTAATGACCTGATGAGTCTTGAGGAATTCTTCTGTTGCTGTGCCGCAGAATGCCTGACGGCAATATCAGCTATGTGTCACCAGTTACCGTGTAACCAGTGAGCCCTTGATGAATTGAGGAAAATGCTAGTGAAATCTGATGATCATCCTGATGGAGATTTGGGCCAGTTGCCGTGCAGCTGCCGTTTCAGGCTTCAAAGATTGTCCTACCCACCAAAGTATCGTTTACTTGTGCGGTTGGAAAATTTCCGGTTACCGTGTAACCGATTGCCCAACAAGTTGCCGTGCAACTATCATTTCCAGTTTTGAAGTTGTTCCTACCTATCAGAGTATCGTTTAACTGTGCGGTCGGCAGGTCACCAGTTACCGTGTAACCAGTGATCCCTTAATGACTTGAGGAAGTAGATGATCATCCTGACAGAGATTTGAGGCTAAACCCTTCACCAGTTACCGCATAACCGGTGATCCTTTGATGATTTGAGGATGAAAATCTACATCGAAACCAGAGAATCATCCTGACGGAGATTCAGAACAGTAATTCTCCAGCTAATTGCTGTGCAGCTATTATTTAGGTTTTCGAAGATTTGTCCCCATCAGAGTACCGTGTACTTGTGCGGTTGGCAAATTTCCGGGTTTATTGGTATTCAACCGTCTTTTACCTTGACTATTTGAGAGTCGTTCGCTTCTCACCCAGTCAGGTCCAAGCCGTTTGAATAGGGGCAGTTGTTGCACCCCAAAATTTGCCCAACATTTCTTTACCTAGCTTGTGTTTCATTGCATTCATATTAGCATTATCATTTGCATTTCATTGACATGTATGCATGAGATCAAGAGGTAGGACTACCAATCAAAGGATATAAAGCTAGCTAAGAGGCTTATTCAAGTGATCAAGGGTTGATATCCTCACCAGAGAAGTCTAAGATCCTCAGAGGAAGTGGTTGAAACCAAGTGGGTATGTCTCCTAACTCGAAAGTTGTGGGAATTCATCTGATGATGCTGAAGCCATAAAGTTGGACCTAGAGCATTGAGAGAGCTCTTAAGAAGTTTTGAAGGTCATTTTGAAGCCTAAACAGGTCATTGTGCAAAGTATATGAAGATATACCCAAGATTGGTACAACTAGGGTTTCATCTGGTCAACCCTAAGTCAACTGATGATTTGAAGAAGGTTGAGACCTAATTCAAGAGCCACGTGATCATGGATTGATGTCTTAAGATGCCTAATGGATGATTCCAAGGTCAATTTATCATGAATCAAGAGTGTGAGGTGTTGCTAAGCTAGGGTTGCTATGCTTGACAGTGTAAAATCCCCTGGTTTGGTGCCTAACTTCAAGACCCCCTAACTCAAGATGTGATTTTCATCTCACCTTGACCCCAACATCATTGTTTTAGGGCATGATCTTAGATTTAATTTGAGTACTATAAGTCCTTGATAGGGTTTATAGAACTCAAGTTATGAGCCAGACAAGTTACATGTCATCTGAGGCATGTGAAGTTGGAGCTTAAAAGTTATCCAACTTGCATGACATTTTTGCCCTAGAAGGATGATTCCTATGAACTTTTGGTCAATATGAATGTTGTTCCTTATCCTCTTATCTTTCTAGAAAGTACTAGAAGTCCATGTTTGGATGTGTAGAACTCAAGATATGGCTTTGACAAGTCAAGGGTATTTTGGGTATTTGGAATTACATGTCATTTTTGGTTATGGGTCCATTTCACTATCTTAGACACCTCAAATGAGCTTTTGTTCAAGTTGAAAGTTGTTCAAAATGGTGTTTTTAGTCCAACCATGACCCAAGAATCCATTGATGTGGATTGAATAAGGAAGAGTATGAAGAAATTTTGAAAAAAGATCATTAAAAGGCATTAATGAAGGAAAAATTCAAAATAAATCACAATGGTTCAAAACTTCACAAGTTTATGCATTTTCTGATTGGAATGGCATTTTAAAGAGATTGGCAATTTTACATTTTTGGTTTGAAGCTCAATTCATGGACTTTGCTTAGGTTACTTAGAATTGAAGTAACATAACAAATCTTGACCATAATATCAAACCAAGCTTGCAATCTAAGCCATTCACATCCAAGGAGTGTTGTGCAACCTGTTGAAGCAAAGAGTGAGCCAAAACAGAGCCAATACACACATATTCCGTTGTTGAACTTTGGAGGAAAATGGAATTTTGAATCAAGCAATTTGGGCCATGATTGGGCCATGTTAGGATCCAAATCCATTCTATTTAAGTTCACAATCATGTTCAGATGATTTTTTTGGAAGGAATTGGCGCATAATTCAGTTGTGGCAGTTAGAGATCAAGGCTTCCAACTCCAAATCGTGTTTTGCAATTCAGAGGGTTTCAAGAGGATTTGAGATTTCAATTAGCACCAGGATCATTCCTTGAAGGTTTATGCACGATTTGAAGCCAAGAATCACCCTGCAACTTGTCATACCCTAAATTTGTCCTACCTATTTTTATTTATTTTCACCTTTTTTGATTTTATTTTCTGTTTTACATTGCCCGCTTATTTTCGGTTATTTAGACACGTGTCCGCTTGCAATTGGTTGATTTCTAAATTTTTAACTAATAAAGACATGACACGTGGCCTAAGAACATTTTTGTAAATATTATTTTCTTAAATTTTTTTGCTTGTTTTCATATTTTTAACATTTATTTAATTGTTAATTGTTAATACTTATTTTAATAATTATTGTTAATATTTTCTATAGTTATACTAATGTTAGTTTATATATATTTCATGTTTATATTAATATATAGTTTTTATTAGCATTATTATTAATTATTAATAGTCATGGATTAATTAAGAAGTAAGTGATTAGTAAAATTAAGAAAAGAAAAATTAAAAAAAAAAGAGAGAGAAAGAATTGGAAGTGGAAATGAACGAGGCCCATTGGGCCTATGCTGAGAATGGCTCAGCTTTCTTGTTATAAGGGAGGGGTCAGCTACTGTTCACGGATACCCTAGAGAAGAGGGAGAACCCTAATTAATCTACTGTTCACTATCCCTAAAGAGCCCCAAAATCGGCCGCCCCCTTTCTAACCCTAATTTTAGTAATGTTCACAATTCACCACCGAAAGTCCCAAAACGGCGCCTCCAAACCTTTCCAACCACCGTGATTCAACAACATTCAATTCGGTTGTGACATTCGTATCTCACTTGCCCACAATAAGTTCTTTCGTACCATAAACCTGTCTCAGCTTCATCGATCTAGATCCCACCTCGCATCCCTCAAACACCTCCAAAACGGCGACGTTTGCTACTCCCTTCACTCCCAATCAAACGATGATGCCAAAACAACATTGCTCGATTTCTTAAACGCAGACGTTTCTCTCGCTGACACGTGGGAGGTTTTCTCGGCTAATGATGAAAGATTCGCGAAATTAGCGCAACATTTGGGTGGTGCTAGGGTTTTGAGACAAGATCCCTTTGAGTGCTACATTCAGTTCATGTGTTCTTCCAATAAGCACATCAGTAGAATCACGAAAATGGTTGATTATGTTTCGTCTCTTGGGACTTATTTAGGTCACGTTGAAGGATTTAATTTTCACGCCTTCCCTACTCTTCACCAACTTTCATTGGTTTCTGAACAACAACTCAGGGACGCTGGTTTTGGTTACAGGGCTGTATAGTTGGGTCTGTAAATGCTTTGCAATCGAAACCTGAAGGTGGAGAAGAATGGCTTCATTCTCTTAGGAAATTGGATCTTCAAGATGCTATATCTCAACTTTCCAAGTTACCTGGAGTGGGTCCTAAACTGTCTGCTTGCACAGCTCTCTACTCCCTTGATCAACACTATGCAATTCCCGTTGATGTTCATGTCTGGCGGATTGCCCAAAAGTATCTCTTACCTGAGCTTGCAGGTTCCAAGTTGACGCTGAAGCTTTGCAATCGTGTTGCAGAGGCATTTGTAACAAAATATGGTAAATATGTCGGCTGGGCTCAGGCTGTTTTATTTATTGCTGGGTTGCCTTCACAAAAGGCCATCCTACCCTTACATTTGAGGGCTACCAAACAGCCGAAGCCCGCTAAGATAGAAAATCGTGAAGAAGAATCTGAGTGAGATCTATCGGTGGTGTGCGTTTGGAGATAAATGCTGGAGACTCGGGCGCGACACACTATGGTTAAAATTTTGTGAGATAGAATGTTGTGATATCACACTGTCAAGTGATGAATCAGGGAAGATATGATTCAGATGGCTCAGAAATAAGCCTTGAATCATTTGTTATCCAACTGTTTGAACTTCTGTTGACCATTGTGGGTAATTCAAGATTAGGAAAGGTGGTTGCAGCTAATGTCAAAGAATTGGTGTACTATACAATTGCTTTTCTTCAAATGATAGAACAACAGGTCCGTTCGTGGTCTGTGGATGCCAACCAATGCATTACTGACGAAGAGGATGCCACTTATAGCTGCCACATTTCTGATGTGCTGTTACTGGAAGAGTGGCAGGCAATGCAAGCTAGTGGAGGGTTAATGAGCAACTAACAGCAAGAAGTTCTACCATCCACAGTTGAGCTTTAATGCTTGTAGCAACAGTGTTATCATTTTCGGTATCAAAAATTGGATAACGAGTTTCTTTGGAGTCATCACCACAAGACGGTAGAGTCTCCATTGGTGCATTTAAGAGAAACAGATAAATTGCAGACAAGCTTTTGTTTAAGTCAACTCGGTTGTTGTGAATTTCATTTTCACCATGTCTGTTCTCTATTTTGGTGTGGGCTATTGATTTTATGCATAAGGAGCTTGAAGCATCATTGTATGCATAGTATCCGCTACTCTCAGTTTCCAACGACAACATCAATGCGACATTTCCGGCTCTTGCGTGACCCCCTCTTTAGCAGCACAACAACAGTTTAAGGCACCAATTCACCAAGGCTTGTCACGAAAACTTTGACACTGCAACCATATCAGTGTTGATACATGTTAGCTCTAACTTCACACGACAGTTTCGCAAAACTCCGACGACGCAAAGCTTCGAGTTTCTATGTTTCGGCCATAACTGTTTCAGCTTGTAGCTATGTCTGTTTTGTTCTCATATTTCCTCATGTTTCAATTTCAGGTACAACTGCAGTTCATCAACAACAGAGTAGTTTGTAGCAGCGAAAACCCATGTCTCAATCGAGATCAACCTCTCTTCATTGCCAACGTTGCCAAGTTGCGACAACTCCGGCAACGATTCCGTAAGCCATCAAGGTTTCAACAATAGCTCGTGGTTTCAAACAACAACAGCCTCAACGTTGCAGGTGAAGCCTATCGGCCAGGTTATTTGGGGGCTCACTTAGATCATTGAAGGTTTAATTGCCGCCACAAGATCGAAAGGAATTTGCAGAAATAATATTTAAAACCAGCTCCAACTCGCTCAGACCTGTTCCAATTCGGATGTTAGAAGCGAAGCATATTCGACATTGCCACTACATGGTGGTAACCTTTTGAATTGTTTCCATAGATTGTATTATTTATTGTTTTAAAATTCTCAAATCCATTCACATTTTTTTAAAAAAATAGAATAATGATGTGTTAGATTACAAAGTGGTGAATATAATTATGTTTGGCAGTTGCTGTTTCTGAAGTCCATCGTTATTATAGAGTCAATGTTAGTTCGAATTTGATTGCATGAGGTTGTGTTAATTTGAGTATGTGAATGCTTATAACTTGTTTTGTTTCTCATTATGTTTGCTTCTATTTGCTGCTATGACATTAATGTCGGTTCCCGTTTGATTATATCGCATGCCTGTCGTGTTCCAATTACGGATCTGTTTCGATTCTTTTGCGATTGTGGGCTTGAAATCATGCAAATAATTATTGTTTGTATGTAGTTGTACAATTTTAATATGGTAGATTGTATTTCGGTCGATTCATGCTCGGTGATAGATTCTTCAAATATGCTAATTCCTAAACATAAATTTTGAGCAACATTAAGGTTTCAGGGAGCATAAAATGTCGGAATGTGGAGGCGGCTACTTCCCCATCAGTATCCTTTTATTGATTTGTTCTTTTTATATAATTGCATAAATTACAATTAGAATAAGATATTAAGTGGTCCAAAACATGTATACTAGACCCAAGAATCATTATATTTATTTTGGTTTAATTTGGATTTGCGAATATAAATTTATGATGAGTTAGTTTGATTTTATTACAAATATTTTTCTAATTAATTTATCGAAAGTAGTGGGCTCTTGGGGTCTAGCATCCCTTGAGTCCTTGAACAACTGTTCTCGAGGCGCACGCCCTTGAGTTACGGTTGTTCCATTTTTCGATTTTCAAAACTGTTTTCACTCAATTCAATTAATGCTTCTAAAAGATATTTTTAAATCAATTTTATTAATTAGATATTTTTATAATAAGTTCCAATTATTATTCTTTTAAAAGATATATATTTCAAAATTATTATCAAATAATATTTTGAATATTAGAAAATTATATTTTATTAATTAAGTTAAAATCTTTTTTTAAGATATTAAACTTTTTTCAAAACAATTAATTATATTTAGCTTTTTCTCAAAATCTTTTTATAAGCAATTGATTAATTAATTTTATATATGAAAATTAAAACTATTTTTCTTAATTAAATTAAACTATTCTTCTTAATCAAATTTCAAAACGATTGAATTCTTGGATCTCGCCTTCCTTGAGTTTCCGAAGGATTGCTCTCAAGGTGCACATCTTGGGTTGTGATCCTTTTGATCATACATTTCTAGAATACCTAGCACGCCTAGTCCGAGTACGCTAATCCATTCAAATTACTTTTTCTAAATTAAATCACGAAAGAATCGAGTTCTTGGAGTCGCGCATTCCTCGAATTCGAGAATGACTACTATTGAGGCGTACGCCTTGAATGATGTGTCGTTCGAACTTTCGTCTCTAAAATACCTCCTTTAAATATCTGGACAAGTATTCACTGTCCAACAAATATATTTCGTAATTAATGGGATGAAAAAGATGTCGTTGGGATCTAACATTCCAACGATATCCCGACTAATTGGTTACGAGGCCGACGCCTCGCTTATCAAACAGTCGTCATTCCTCCTAAATTTCCAACTCGTCTAACCTCGTTCCTTACCTTCGTGTGATCAAGTCTAAACCCTAGTATGTTTTTAAACCATACGTCAAATCCAAATTATTTTCTTAACTAAATTGAGAAAGAACTGAGTTCTTGGAGTCTCGCACTCCTTGAATTCTTGAGTAACCACTCTTGGGGTGCACGCTTTAGGTTGTGGGTTACTCGACCTTTCTTCTATAAAACCCATGCCCTAATTATTTGGAAAAATATCGTCATTGTCCATTCAAATACAATTTCATAATTATTCGAATGAAAAAGGTGTTGTTGGGATCTAGCATTCCAACAATATCCCGATTAATTGATTGCGAGGCTGACGTCTCGTTTATCGAGTAGTCGTCATTCTCCCTTAAAATATTCAATCCAACTCTCTTTTCTCGCCCCTGCGCGATTGAAACTTTCTCAAACACAAATTTCGAAGTTAGTCGAATGAAAAAGGTGTCGTTGGAATCTAGCATTCCAATAATGCCCCGATTAATTGGTTACGAGACTGACGTCTCGTTTACCGAGTAGTCGTCATTCTCCATTAAAATATCCAACAATTCCAACTCTTTTCTCACCCCCGTGCGATTGAAACCTTAAACCTATTCAAATCCATTCTCTTTCCTAAACCAAAACATACAATACGATAAACACAAACTCCTCGCCCTCGTGCGATTTCCAACTCAAACACCTTTTCCTAAAGAACATTGTTTAGTCCTTCTTCCGCACATAACAAACTAGTGCTTCAGCCTCCCCTAGCGAGCAGACAAGCCAATGTTTAGCAGTTAGAATGCGACCTAAACTCTCGTTCAACTCATACACTTTTTGCCCAAGAACATTGTTTAGTCCTTTCTTCCGCGCATATGAACTTGTGCTTCAGCCTCCCTTAGCGACCAGACAAGCCCATGTTTAGCAGTTAGAATGTGACCTAAACACTCGTTCATTTTCAAACCCTTTTACCATAGTCAGCCGAACTACGACTGCTCTGATTTCTCACATCCGTTGAGAATACGTAGGCATAGGATTGCGATGATCCTAGCGAGCACTTTTCTTTCTTTCCCACCTTTAGGTTCCCATACCTTTTACTAAAGAACATTGTTTATTCCTTTCTTCCGTGCATATGAACTCGTGCTTCAGCCACCCCTAGCGAGCAGATAAGCCAATGTTTAGCAGTTAGAATATGACCTAAACACTCGTTCATTTACCAACCTTTTACCGTAGTTAGCCGAACTACGACTGCTTTGATTTCTCATATCCTTTGAGAATACGTAGGCACAAGATTGCGATGATCTTGGCGAGCACAATCCCCTCTTTTTCCCGTAGTCCCACGAACTACGAATGCTCTGATTTTCCACTTCTTACAAGTGAAGATATGTAGGCACAAGGGCCCCAATCCTTGGCGAGCACCCTATCTTATAACCACTCATTCCCCCTATAGGAGAAACCTTAGAAGAAAACAAACAAGCGTAGCTAACTTTACTCTCGAATCAATCAAGAGGTTCCCGTTGAGTACAACGGACATAAGGGGTGCTAATACCTTCCCCTCATATAATCGACTCCCGAACCTAGAATATTGGTTGCGATGACCATGTTCTTATCCCTCTTAAAGGTTTTATCGATATTTTCCTATTCCATCCTTGGAATGAATAAAGTTCGGTGGCGACTCTGTTCGAACGTATTTTCCGCGTCCATCGCGAGGATCGTATTTTTCGAGGTACGACACAACTGCTCCAATTTCAAACTTTTTTCCAGGTTTTTATCTTTCACTATTGCTCTAGTTCTAGGCATGTTTAGACTGAAATTGGCATGTGGTTAAGTTGTAGTGATGACCCAGAACGTTTTAGGATCATAATTGAGAAGTTTCGTGATGATTCATGATGAGATGAGTTTCCTGTTGAGGCTTATATCTAGATGATTCTTGAGAATTAGCATGAATGGATTAGTGATTCTTGATCTCTGAGGAGTGAGGAGCATTTCTGTGTAATCAATTTGAGTGTTGGTGATGATTATGTAATTGA